GCCACCTCCGCGAGCAGTGCCACCCGAGGCCGGGGCAGCTCTGTTGGCGGGGGCAGCCGACGGACCACGGTGGCATATGTGATCAACGAAGCGAGCCAGGGGCAACTGGTGGTGGCCGAGAGCGAGGCCCTGCAGAGCTTGCGGGAGGCGTGCGAGACGGTGGGCGCCACCCTGGAAACCCTGCATTTTGGGAAACTCGACTTTGGTGAAACCACCGTCCTGGACCGCTTTTACAATGCAGGTGCGTGTGTGACCCCTTTGCCATCCCGCGCGGTCGGGACCCACGTTTAATCTGGCCGTCTTCGGGGCATTTCATTTTTCTGGGCGGGAAGCATTTACTACTTCTTGCCCCACTTTGGGGGCAGCGAGCGCTGCTGCGTGACTGCTCTTGTCGCTTGCTGCTCCGGGGAGAGCGTGTGTGTTTGTGAAAGAGTCTGTATTTGTGCGAGAGACCCATGGATCCACCCACCGCCCAACGCTGGAGCCCTGGGTCCCTGCGATCGACTTGAACTGTTCTCTAGCAGTGAGAGATATTTGCCCCAGTCAGTCCTTCTCCGTTCAGTGTCTCGGTTTCGCTTCTGTGAGATTTGGTCCCTGTTTTCCTTCTGCATATACCTGTGACCGTTTTAGATGAGGTTCTCCTTTTCTCCGTGTAGTTTTGAGAGTACAGGAACGATGACATACCGTGCACGCAGAGTGTAACTATAGTAATTTGCACGCCGTATCATGAGCTTCCCAACTCACCTTACCCTCAATAAGTTTTAGTAGCTTGAATTTCCTCTCACCAACCCAGACTTTGAAGTAATTACAGTGCTTCCAAAGGCAATAACATCACAACTTACACTGAACTTGTGTGGTATCTTTGTAAGGATTTTGGTGAAAGAACCACGGCCTGTTTTTTATTACCCCATAAACCATGATGGGCTAGAAAGTTTATAATTTAACATTGTCTGAAACACCTATATGCTATCCTAGTAATAAGATTAGTTTGGCCATTAAAGTGATTGCTAGCATAATCCATGAAAGAAATGTATCTTTTCAACCTATCTCAGATTTCAGAAAACGTTAAGGCAGTTCTAGTAACTGAAGCAATTAGCTGTTTGCAAATGTTAGGAATAATACCATGCTATCGAAATTAACTTTTAGCCTCCTGTACGTCCAGTGTTGAGAATATATACATATTTAAGTTTACATTTGTGGGTAAAAACTTGGTTTAATGGTTTCAAAACAGTATACTTCTTGCATTTGTGATCACATAAAAGGCTTTATTTTCCAATCTTGTTTTCAATTCTGATTCTCTTCAGTATCTTCCAAACACCTGAAGTAGGCTTATGTCAGTTTTGGAATTCAGCCAAAGCTGAATATTTTAAGAACAACAAGAACTTCATGTTAAGGAAGCCAGACTAAATAAACTAGGACTTTCTGGTTCTGGTATTTTAAAAATAGTTTTGGTCTTCATAACTGAGCATGGCTATAATGTATTATAGCTTGATTCTTTGGGTAGCTTGCTATAAAAGTTACATCAACGTAACTTTTCTAAAAATTATAGCACTCTTATTTTTGGATTATAATTTGGAAGAAGCTTCAAAGAACTAAAAGATATGAGAGGAAAATACCCAACTGAACACTTGAGCCTATTTTTATTGCACTGATTGGGCGTTTTTTTCTAGGGCTCTAGAAAAAAAATTTTTTTTAACTCTAAGCTAATTTGAAAGAAACTTTCCTAACAAGGCTTGGTTTCTGTTACTCTCCAAATACTGTCTCTGGGAAAGGGAGAGAGAGAATGATTAGAAGGGAGCTGAAGTTTGAGTGTGTTTCATTGAATCCTCCAAACAAGCCTATGAAGGAAGTACTTACCTTCTTAGGTGAGAAAACCCAGGGATCCCTAACTGGCCCTAGGATTCATAGGGAGTAAGTGGCCAATGCAGGATTCCACTTCAGGTGGCTGACCCTAAAAGGTTGTGCTTGGGCCAGGTGTGGTGGCTCACGCCTGTAATCCCAGCACTTTGGGAGGCCAAGACAGGTGGATCACCTGAGGTCAGGAGTTTGAGGCCAGCTTCCTGGCCAACATGGTGAAACCCTATCTCTACTAGAATGACAAAAATTAGCCAGGCATGGTGGTGCACACCTGTAGTCCTAGCTACTCAGGAGGCTGAGGCAGGAGAATCATTTGAACCTGGGAGGCAGAGGTTGCAGTGAGCCGAGATTGTACCATTGCACTCCAAACTGGGTGACAGAATGAGACTCTGTCTCAAAAAAAAAAAAAAAAAAAAAAAAAAAAAAAAAAAAAGGTCGTGCTTGGCCCTTGCTTTCTCCATTTAGGTGGGCTGAGTTACTCTCAGAATCAAGGGAAGCTCCCTATCTTGGAATCACGTGAGTGAGCTGGCAAATATCTTACCAGGCATTTAGGTGCATATGGAATAGAGGGGAGGGCATGCTCTTGGAAGCCTCTTGTTCCTGTGCCTTCCTACTGCTTCTTTCAACCTAGACAGGTCTCAGTTTAACCCCTGCCCATCTGGGTGGCATGAACTCCCAGGATGAGTGCCCTCTCATTCAGCATGAAAGCATGAAAGTGTGACAGAATGAAGGTAGTGCATCAGTTTCATCTAAACCCTTTGTTTTTATTTTATTTTATTTGTTTTAGAGACAGGGTCTCACTCTGTTGACCCGCCTGGAGTGCAGTGGCATGATCATGGTTCACTGCAGGCTCGAACTCCTGGGCTCTAGTGATCCTCCTGCCTCAGCCTCCCGAGTAACTGGGACTACAGGCATGAGCCACCACACTGAGCTAATTTTATTTTATTTTATTATTATTTTTTTGTAGAGACAGGGTCTTTCTATGTTGCCCAGACTGGTCTCAAACTTCTGGCCTCAAGCAGTGCTCCTGCCTTGGCCTCCCAGCGTGTTGGGATTACAGGCGTGAGCCCTTCACCCAGCCTCCCTTTGTTTTTTCTAAACTAAGGGCCGTGGAGTTTGATGGTAGTAGAACTTATTTTCTTCTGACTTCTAAGAGGGCTTATTCTTCCTCACTAGGGGTTGACAAACTTCTGGAGATGTCCAGATACTAAATATTTTAGACTGCAGTTTTTAAAAAACTTTTACTTCAGAATCAGAGGGTATTTGTGCAGGTTTGTTACAGAGATACATTATGTGATGCTGAGGTTTGGGGTATGAATGAAAAAAAAATTTCATTGTACCCAGTGGGTAGTTTTTCAGCCCCCTCTCTTTTCTCCTTCTAGTAGTCCCCACTGTCTGTTGGTCCCATCTTTAAGCTTTTTTTTTTTTTTTTTTGAGATAGTGTCTTGCTCTGTTGCCCAGGCTGGAATGCAGTGGCATGATCTTGGCTCACCATAACCTCCGCCTCCCAGGTTCAAGCGATTCTCCTGCTTCAACCTCCCGAGTAGCTGGGACTACAGCCGCATGCCACCATGACTGGCTAATTTTTGTATTTTTAGTAGAGACAGGGTTTCACCATGTTGGCCAGGCTGGTCTTGAACTCCTGACCTCATGATCTGCCCGCCTCGGCCTCACAGAGTGCTGGGATTACAGGCGTGAGCCACTGCGCCCAGCCTCCCATCTTTAAGTTTACTTGTACCCAGTGTTTAGCTCCCACTTAAGTGAGAACATGCAATATCTGGTTTTGGTGTCTTTTTGGTAGAACAATTTATTTTCCTTTGGGTATATACCTAGTAATGGGATTGCTGCGTCGAACGGTAGTTCAGCTCTTATTTCTTTGAGAAATCTCCAAAGTACTTTCCACGGTGGCAGGACTAATTTACATTCTCACCAACAGTGTATAAGTGTTCCCTTTTCTCTGCAGCCTCACCAACATCTGTTATTTTTTGACTTTTTAACAAAAGCCATTCTGACTGGTGTGAGATGTTATCTCATTGTGGTTTTGATTTGCATTTCTCTGATGATTAGTGATGATGAACATTTTTTCATATGTTTGTTGGCTGCTTGTATGTCTTCTTCTGAGAAGTGTCTGTTCATATCTTTCGCCTATTTTTTAATGGGGTTATTTGTTTTTTTGCTTGTTGATTTGTAGACCTTTCTTAAAAGCATAGTTTGTGAATATTTTCTCCCACTCTGCGGGTTGTCTGTTTACTCTCTTAATAGTGTCTCTTGTTGTGCAAAAGCTCTTTAGTTTAATTAGGTCCCATTTGTCATTTTTGTTTTTGTTGCGATTGCTTTTGAGGACTTAGTCATAAATTCTTTCCCAAGGCCGATGCGGAATGGTATTTCCTAGGCTTTCTTCTAGGATTCTTATGGTTTGAGGTCTCACATTTAAACCTTAATCCATCTTGAATGAATTTTTGTATATGGTGATAGATAGGGGTCCAATTTTATTCTGCATATGGCTAGCAAGCACCATTTATTGAATAGGGAGTCCTTTCTCCATTCCTTATTTTTGTCGACTTTGTTGAAGATCAGATGGTTTTAGGTGTGCGGTTTTATTTCTTGAGGTCTCTTTCACAACTTCTCAGCTCTGCCCTGTTACTCAAGAGCAGCCATAAACAGGACCTAAACAAAAGATCGTGACTATGTTCCAACCACACTTTATTCATGGACACTGAAATTTGAACTTCACATACTTCATAAAGTATGATTTCTTGCTTTATAACCATTTTAAAATGTAAAAACCATTCTTAGCTTGTAAGCCATGCTCAAAAAGAGATGGCCCGCAGGATTTGGCCCCTGTGCCATGCTGACCTTTGCTCTACACCCATGACCTGTACTTGAAAGTTGAGTTTTTATGAGATAGTGGGAAGAACATGGTCCCTCATATTAGATCTGAGTTTTCATCCCAGCTCTGCTGTGAACCACGTAACTGTGAGAACGGCCCTTCATTGCCTCCAGTGGTGTTTCTTTGCTTGTAAAATTGACCAGGCATAGAAGTGAAGGGGGAATTGAACACAGCTTTTAGGATCCCCTTATTTAATCCTGTGAATTTACAAAGGCAAGGCAGCATGGGATGCAGGCACAAAGTATTAGAACAGCATTTTCAAGGTTTGGCTTCGGGTCCTGATTGTCTTCTAACTTGGAGCAAGTCATTTAAAGCCTCAGAAAAGAGTGGAGTGTTGGAATAATTGGTATTTGAGATTCTGTCCAGCTCTCAAATTCTGTACTTTAAAATGACAACATTATTAAGACAAATGAGTCATTTCAGCTCATGGAGATTAAATGAACTGCTTGTATATATCATATTCCTGCCTCTGAAGAGCTCAGAGTTGGTGGGGAGGGCAGACCAATGCCTTTGCCATAGCAGTGCCTCTGTGCCAGGATGCCCTGGGCTCCCAGGAAACAGCTTCAAAAATCAGATTGAGGCTGCAGTGGGCTCAAGGGTAGCTTCTTATGCGTGTTTTTGTTTGCTTTTTTTCTTTTTGTGGAGAATGGGGTCTCGCTATACTGCCCAGGCAGGTCTCAATTTCCTGGGCTCAAGCTATCCTCCTGCCTCTGCCTCCCTAAGAGCTGGGATTAAAGGTGTGAGCCGCCACACCTGGCAAGGGGTAGCTTCTTAAAGGAGGTGACACCTGAAGTGAAATGGCAGGGTAAGCAAGGAGAGCTTAATGAAGGTCTCAACGTTTGCATGGGAAACAGTGATGTTCGAATAGCTCAACCTAAGGGAGTGAATAAGAACTTAGTCCCAGCTACTCGGGAGGCTGAGGTGGGAGGATCCCTTGAGCTTGGGAGGCTGAGGCTGCGGTGAGCTGAGATCATGCTACTGCAGTCCAGCCTGGGTGAAAGAATGAGACCCTGTTTCAAAAAAAAAAAAAAAAAAAAAACAAGAAGAACTTAAAGTTTGGTAACATTTTTAATAAACTTTCCCAATCTTTGTGTACTGGTATCTTTAAAAAGAATAGATTAAAAGTTAAACCTTTGCACTGATTTTTCTCGATCTGATTACTATTTACCTATATTTTAATTTCTTCTTTGACTACTCTTGTAGTTTGCTTTTTCATTTTCTTTCTGAGGTGAAACTAATGCTCTATTAATGCTTTTATGAAAATTCATCTTATTTATGTATACAACAGACTGTCACTCAGAGACAGCAAAGCCAAGCTGACAATACCCCTTCTTCGCCCTCTGCATTGTAGACAGAAAATTCTGTAAAAGCTAAGAGATGTCAATATCATCGTGTTGCCCTGGGTAGGTGGACAGATCCCAACTGGGAAGCTTTCCAAATACTTTTTTTTTTTTTTTTTTGAGATGGAGTTTTGCTCTTGTCACCCAGGCTGGAGTGCAGTGGCTCGATCTTGGCTCACTGCAACATCTGCTTCCTGGGTTCAAGTGATTCTTCTGCCTCAGCCTCCTGAGTAGCTGGGATTACAATCGTGTGCCACCACATCCAGCTAATTTTTTTGTATTATTAGTAGAGATGGAGTTTCACGTTGTTGGTCAGACTGGTCTCTAACTCCTGACCTCAGGAGTGATCTGCCTGCTTTGGCCTCCCAAAGTGCTGGGATTACAGGCATCAGCCACTGCACCCAGCCCTAAATTTTTTTCAAAATACATCAATTCTGTTGTTCTCTCATTTTGCTTATGAAAACACTGAACCTTGAAGAGGATATATTCATTCATTCAGATTAAATGTTTGAAGGTTCTTGCTTGGAGCACACTTTTTGTAGAAGCAGTATTGCACATGGTGGGCAGATTCTGGGACTAGCTTATAAGAAGCCTGGTTAACACAGTGTATGGAACCATTCACCATTTTAAACATTCGGGAAAATTCTGTTTCTGAAACCTAAAACCTGTATTAGAGCAATTACTTTTGCTTTCATCTAGCTCTGAGTAGCATCTTGGCCAGATGTAGGAGAAGCATCAACTTGGAGTGGTGAAAGGGGTGGGACTGTGGTGAGGTAGAGGACAAAGGGAAGATCAGGTGGCTGCAGGGAGAACCAGGATGCTGTGTGAAAGAGGAGGCAATGCCAGCAGGAGATCCAGCAACACTTTCACTTCCTTTAGGCTTCTTCCCCTTCTATTTCCTGCTGATGTAAGACCCAGGGATACTGCTGTGCTCAAGGCCACCTCACTCCCTCAGTGGACACAGGGTTAGCTTGGCTGCCCGCTTCCCATTTCCTTGCCACCAGCCTTCACATCCGCCCGGGCCTTGGCTCACTGCAGATTGCAATCTCTTACTCAGCTTTTCACCCTGTAGCAATCATAGGTAACAGGAAGGAAGCACATGCTAGTTGAAATTGTGAGAACTTAGCTTTTCTATTCTCATCCATGGTATGTTCCCACTTTACTTGAGCTTGTGACAAAAGTCGCTCATGTGTTAATATGCCATCTCGCTGGAGAGGCATCTGACCTTGCCAGGCTTTGGCTTCAACTTGCTTCCAGCAAAGCTCCTTAGGACTTCTAATCTTATTTGGTAAAACAATAAAACAAAACAGAACATAACTTTGTATTCCATCTATCCCAGATGGAGAAGTTCTTGAAAATTTTCCAGCCCACTTCTGCATTTCTACTTTCAATATGCTTTCCAAGTATATTATCTCATATATTTTGAAGTAGAGGGTAAAGTCTGTATGTCCTAAATAGTGGTTCCCATGAACCAGTTAAAAAATTTGGAGGACTGACATGTGTTTGCCAACGTTTAAATTTTTCTACATAAGAGTGTTGTTATAAGTGGAGAGAGAAAGTGAGGAAAATTGAGAGAGAGAGAGAGAAAGAGAGAGACAGAGAGAGAGAGAGAGAGAAAGAGACAGAGAGAAAGAGAGAGAGACAGAGAGAGAGAGAAAGAGAGAGACAGAGAGAGAGAGAGAAAGAGAGAGAGAGAGAGAGAGAAAGAGAGAGAGAGAGAGAGAGAGAGAAAGAGAGAGAAAGAGAGAGACAGAGAGAGAGAAGAAAATCAACAATCAGCCACCTATTGCCATGATTTCTTAAAAAGGAAAGTTTTATGTTAAAAAAAATTAGGGGGCACATAACTTTGGAATGAAGGGCAGATCTTTGCATACAGAAAACGTATGGAAAAACTCATGACTTTTTATTTATTTTTTCCATTTCTCCATGGATGAGTGAAAACTTTATCACACCAGTCAATAGAGTAGTGTTTAAGAGCCTCTGATTGGAACCACCCTGCAGCCCCTTCCCACCTTTCAGCCACTGCTTCACATGAGAAACGAACCTTAGTAAAATTATCAAAAGAGCAAATGTGGAGAAACTCGTAAGGCAAAACTCTGGTTAGGAAAGGATTTTAAAAAAAAAATCCCAGTGGTGCCCAACACATGATTTTTCTCTGAGCTGTTCACGTTCCCTGGCACACCATTGTGGCAGCTGCCACCCACCTCATATAAACCGACAGCACTGTGCTGCTTCTTGCTTTTTTGGATAATGGGTCAATTAAGGCAAAACTATAATTTTTTAAAAAGAGCTTAACTAGAAAATCGGACGGAAAAAAGCAAAATCAAAAAGAAAACTCCAGAGCACAAAAATAGATTAGTTTTTAGAGTACCAATTTCTTACCCCACATCATCAACTGCATGTTGTCATGACCAGCTCTGCTTCCTAGGCTCCCGGGATCCTGGTTTCTTTCCTTAATTTGGTCACCTTTTGTCTACTTGAGACATTATCAGTTGGTAGTTCAAGCTGGTTCCATCTCTAGGTGAAGCCTGTGTATTATATAAGTGCATAACACAGGCTTGTCTCACCAGTGGCCTTGGCTGGAGCCAGCCTTTTGGGAGTTCTCTGTTTATAGGGCAGTTCCCCTCTGGTGGCTATAAGAACTGTGCCCTACTTCCTGTATCAGAGGTCTGGTTAGAGGCCCATTCAGTTCCTGTTTCTGGTTTGCAGGATAAAATTGGTTCATACTTTCTTTGTGAAGCGGTAGGAGATGGACAAGCACAAAATCCAGTAAATGTGCAAGGCTCTTCAGCATGAGGTACCAATCGTGCCTACTTTTCCAAGTACTTCCTCCAAATGGTGCCTTCGAACACCACCCCAAGCCAGGAAAGTAGAGAACCATAGGAAAATGCATTGTTGGCTACTGACTCCAGGGCTGACAGTGTGCTATGCAATGATGGCCCCTCCCAGGAGGCCATTTGAGGGCCTTGTATCACACACTCCCCTTTCCGTCACCCATGGGACCCTCACGGTGGCTGTAGAACGTGCCAGCAGTCGCCCCACTCCACCTGGGGCAAGATGAGAGTGGGAAATGTGGTGGGGGTGGGCAGTGTTGCAGGAACCCACAGCTATGTGGTTATCAGAAGAAACTGGGAACCCACAGCTTTGGGAAAAATATATCTTGAAGACAGCCTCATCTTCCTGTAATTTGTATATAAGTAGGTGGGGAAACTGGCTAGATATGAGAAAGATCTTGAAAATTTTATTAGTGGCATAAAAGGGAAATAAAGGAAATCAAGGCAAAATGATAAATTAAAAATCCATTGGTGACTGTAATATATTGGTTTCTGTAGTTGTGGGTTTTTATTTATTTATTTATTTATTTTTTTAAAAGACGATCTTGCTCTGTCACCCAGGCTGGAGTACATTGGCATTATTTCAACTCCAGCTGCAACCTCCGCCTTCTGGACTCAAGCGATCCTCTTGCTTTGAGCACAGCCAAACCTGGCCAATTTTTGTATTTTTATGTGGAGATGGGGTTTTACCATGTTGCCCAGGCTGGTCTCAAACTCCTGGACTCAAGCGATCCTGCTGCCTCAGCCTCCCAAAGTGCTGAGATTACAGGCGTGGGCCACTGCGCCTAGCCTAGTTGTTTTAATGTATTAGTTTTTCTCTTTGGCCAGAGGTATTGACTAGAGACACTGATCGAAATATGTGCCAGGTTAGTGGAAAAGAAGGAAGGATATGAGACAAAGCCGATTTTCACAATCTTGTCTAATTGTTCAAAAAATGTAAATAATTGATCACTTACGTTTTATATGAATTTTATTTTGTAATGTTTTTGGTTTTCCAAAGGAAAACAGAAATAACTGAAGCTGCATTGTGGTAATTTTCTTAGGGGAGACAGGAGAGAGAATTTTAAATATGAAGGGTATCTCTTGTTTAATGAAATCATAGTAGATCAGATCTGTGTAACTTAAATGCCACAGAAGTTGCACAGGGTAACAGAAAACACTCCACTATAAGCAGACCTTTTCTGTTACAGTAGTTCATCGACAACGAGGAAAGCAATTGCCTTTGGTATATGATTCATACAGGAAGTAAGTTATATTCCTTTGTACAGGCAATCTCTAAAAATGATTGAGACCAGTTATACCAGTACTTTCCAATACTTGCAGCCTCTTCTATACCCGTGAACTCTTAAGAACTGGAAACATGGAGGAGAGGTGTCCTAGTCAGTATCAATCAGCATCAGGTTATCTGTCCACTGACCCCAAACCATATAAAACCAAGTCTTTGCCTAAGCCAGAGAATTCTCTCTCCTTTAAAAATGTTGATTACTTCTGTTTCTGTTGTTTTTTCTTATCTCTTCTTCTTCTTCTTTTTTTTTTTTTTTTTGAGACAGGGTGTCAGTCTGTCTCCCTGGCTGGAATGCAGTGTCCCAGTCATAGCTCACTGCAGCCTCTAACTCCTGAACTCAAGGGAATTTCCCACCTTAGCCTCCCAAAGTGTTGGAATTACAGGCATGAGCCACTGTGCCTGGCCTAATTACTCCTATTTATTATTTTAAAAAAGTCATCCAAAGCTATTACATGTCAAAAGCCTCCCCCCCCCCCCCAAAATAGAGACAGGGTTTCACCTTGTTGCCCAGGCTGGTCTTGAACTGCTGGGCTCAAGCAATTCATCTGCTTCTGCCTCCCAAAATGCTAGGATTACTGGTGTGAGCCACTGTGCCCGGCCATGTCAAATACCTCTTAATGTCACATTCAAGTTTTGTAATATGGTCATTATGACAAATGTCAGCTTAAAACCGGGGCAACCAGGACGGGAGTGCTATTTCTGATGTCCAGGGGCCACCGCTTTGGCCTGTAGCTAGATATTTCCCAATTTATAATTTGATCACTCTGAGGTTCCAGTGATTTTATGCAGTTGGGTCAGAATGATAGTATCAGTGAATCAGTTGTTCAATGCTACTCCTCCTCCTTTGATTATCTTACTCTTCAATAAGATGATCCTATTTCTTATAAAATAAGTAGGCGTGGCAGTGTAATTACCTATATCTTACAGTTGGAAAGGCTATGAGAGCGGCCAGATTAAATCAAGTGGTTGGATAGGAAGTCTTCCAACTTCCAAACAATACAGATGTTTTGTTCGCTATACTACAGTTTCCACCTGCAGTGAAAAACATTTCAAAACATTCTGAAGTACATGTTCTGTTTAAGAGGATCAGTTCTAATATTTTGGTCCACGATGGCAGTCATTATTATGAGGAAGAGTCATAGTAGTCACACAACTTCTGATCCCCTCTTGCTAGCAGATTTTAGTGACACCTTAATCAAAAAGCTGACTTACCTTTTTCGGTCAATGTCAGCAAGGGAACCAACTCAATAGTGGTTGCCAGTTGCTTGGCCTTAAGCTGTGAATTGGGCTTTCTTCAGGCAAGTCTTGGGTTGTTTTCTGAGCATGATGGTTAGATGGACTGTGATAGGCCAAAACCAGCCTTTCTCTAGAATGATCCAGAGAGCTGGGTTTACAGCACAGCCTGGGGACTGTTCTTTCCTTGTTTCCCTGAGATGTGCTGGCTCTGGAGTCTGATGCACTTTCCCTTAATGTGATAGCATATTCTAAGTAATTAAATTTTGTAAGCATTTATTATTAATTGCCTATAATATGCCTCTTACTGAATCAGGATGTATTGAAGAACTAAGAAGCAGAAGAAGGCATACATCTTCAGGAGTATAAAGGTTTATAACGTGTATCTGTTAGCATGGGAAAAACTGAAGCTAAGGGAAGCAGTCAGGAGGAACGACCTAGATTCCCCATTCCTCCTACCAGACTCATTCTTTTTAGAAAAAACATTTAAAAAATTTATGAAACATTTTAGTCATAAAGAAAGTATATAAAATAGTTTAACAGACACTTATGCATCTACATACTACCTAAATGTAATAGCTAATGGCAGTTAAACATTTTGACATACTTGTTTTACTTCTTTTTCTTTCTTAGAAAAATAAATAATTCTGGGTAAAACTAAAAGCTCCTTTCTATCTCATCAGTTTCTCTTCCTGTGAAAGTACATTCTTCATGGGAAGCGCCACGTTACAGTGTTCTAAACTATAATTTACAACAATCCAAAATAACGACTCTCTACAAATATAAACATATGTCAAATATTGAATTAATTTATTATGTAATGAGAAAAACCAGAAAGATATTAAAACTGGTTGAAAGGAGAGTTTGAAGAGCAAATATTATATACACACATACAAAATCAGGAATGGTGAAATGAATTTGCTAATAGATGCAAAATTGGCTAACATTATGTAAGGCAATTCTATAAGTATAAATGCTGGAGTCATCTATTCTAAAGGGTGGAAATCAATTGTATCTCTAGCAAACCATATTCATTTGTATTGCTGTGGACAAAAAATATTTGCATTACTATCAGTTTTGCACAAGGTAATATTTACCCCAACAGCATTGTAAAATAGCCAAATCACTAGGAGGACAATCAAAGGTACACACCCCTTTAAAATCAGATAATTCCCAGAGGGAGTGCTGCCCTAAGCCCAGCCCTCCACTGAAAGGATACTCAGTACCTTTTGACCTTTTCCAAGTCTTTGACAGCTCTTCCCTGCAGAAGGTTGGTCATTCTCGGCAGGCTCTATGCCTGTCTCTCCAAGTGCTCTGAACTCAGCCTGACTTAAAGGACCTGTTATTGTCTCTGCTACTCTGCCACCTGAAGCCTTTTGCCCTCAGAGGGTCCCAGAATACCTTGCTTTAACCAGGATTCCCAGTCATGGTTATTTTAGGTCAGGGAACGTGTACAAATTGACAATAGGATGTCAGTCCCCTAGGTTTTGGATATGAGAAGAGATATAAGCCATGTGGCAATAACCAAGTCAGGAATATGCTAGTGGGATGCTTGCAGTGTCTGGAAACCCAACTTCATTCTTATACTAGGATAATATAATTATTACTATGGGACCTTCATTAGTTTAGACCGCTCCAAATAAGCCTATTTTATGGAGGAGAAAGGTCCTTATTTTATTTTAGAGGGCTAGCAAACTGCTGTAAGATTACATAAGCTGACAAGCTGAATATATGACACTTTGGTCTTATAAATTAAAGCAAGCCACACACAAAGAGCATGCTTTACTGTGTGCTAGGCGTATGTGCTAATCACTCTATCACTCTATATGCGTTATCTTATTTAATCTTTTTTTTTTTTTTTTGAGACAGGGTCTCACTCTGTTGCCCAGGCTAAAGTTCAGTGGCATGATCATGGCTCACTGCAGTCTTGATCTCCCAGACTCAAATGATCCTCCTGCCTCAGCCTCCCGAGTAGCTGGGACTACAAGCATGTGCCACCATACCAGGCTAATTTTTTATGTTTTTATTTTTATTTTTTATCTTTTATTTATTTGTTTTTAAGACAGGCTCACTCTGTACCCAGGCTGGAGTGCGGTGCTGTGATCTTGGCTCACTGCAACCTCTGCCTCCCAGGTTACCATGCCCAGCTAATGTTTTGTGTTTTTAATAGAGACAGGGTTTTGCCATGTTGGCCAGGCTGGTCTTGAACTCCTGGCCTCAAGTGATCTGCCTGCCTTGGCCTCCCAAAGTGCTGGAATTA